CTTTTGAGGCTCTAGTGGGAAAACTGAACACAATGCAAACTATACATTATTAAAATGAAAAACAAAAACTTGTCACCACTAACATTAAGTAATTAAATTTAGGTAAAGTTAGCTATGAGGTTTTAAAATGTGTTTATTTTCAATAGTCTTGTCCCCTCTGTGTCATAAAAGTTTTTCAAGGATTGTATGCCTATCCACATTACAGGGTTTGATTTAAATAATTAAAAGTAGATTACCCACCAACATACATTGAGGCTAAAAGCACTAAAAGTACTTGCACATTATTTACTATAAGTGCAGGTCAGAGTGCCTTTTGTCATCAGTGCTGGTGCAATTAAATGTAGATTACTGAATGACATACATTGAAGCTAAAAGCACTAACATTACATGTGCATTATTTATTTGAAGTGCAGGTCACAGTGCCTTTAGTCATCAGTGCACATGCAGGAAAAATCATTTTCTCTCTTACCAGAAGAGCTACTTTTTTCTCTTTGGTCTGATCCGTACACAAGCCCTGATCCTGATGTACCACCAATTATCTTTCCATTATGAAACCACTGAGTTTTATGGTGATGATAACCCGACTCAAATGGGGCTGGCCTAACTTGATCCCTATCAATCAGTCACGTACAGATTGATTTATTTCAAATGTAAAATATTTATAATTGCAGCTTGTTGAAGAATAAAATCTGCTCAAGTTGACTCTATCTACTGGAACTGACCAATGAATTATTATTACTAGTTATTAATACCCCAGTTTTTATCAATCAAAATGTTTAGAAGTTCAATCCAAATACATTCCAAGTTCTTCCATCTGTTACTGTGAACCACCAGGAGTAATCAGAGATATTTACACACTGATCACATAATTGAAAGGCTCTTAATTTTCAGTGGTAGTCAAAGATAGATGAAAGGAATTACTCTGATCATGAGTGACTGTTACTTCTTTGTCAAAGAGATCAGGCTACAGTGTAAATGTTCTGATGTTTGTTACCAGAAGAGGAAAATTTCTTAAATTCCCTTTGATTGTTAAGAGGGTTCCAAGATGTATCATAAAATTATTCAATCATATGGTACATGTGAATGTAAATATATAAATTTTTATTAAATCCAAAGTTCAAAAAGCTGTGCTCTGGTGCAAAAGTATAGAGTAAATGAGTTAACTTGGGTCATTAATAAATATTGGTCTGAAGAGTTACTTTTAGTGAAGGCAGAAAGCTGCAACCGATGTAAAGAACGACTGTCACTTGAAAAAGAAAATATAGCCTCACAAGCATAATGTGTGTTGTGTAAGACTATTGATGAAATATAGCCATGCAGTTACGTGAATGGAATGTGTATAATTTTCCCGTGGAAATGTCATTCTAACCGCTGGAAAAACAGCCTACAGCAATTGAATTTTTCAAAGCTGTTTTGGTCAACAAATTCCCGACTCGTCACTCACAAAATTCCGATGAGGCTTATCGGATAGTAAAGAATTTTTATGAATATTAGTCTTGCAGTGTTGTTTAGAGACAGGCAGATTACAGTTAATCTTCCGTGCGCTATAAATATTTGAGTTTAAGCCGACTAGCAACATTGTGCATATTTTGGAAAGTTGAATATAGATGGTAGTCTAAGTAGAGAGGCCGTTCTCGAATCAAAGATCACACTATGAATAGAAGCTCGTGTAATATATGTCATGTATATGTCTTGAGTGAAATATGTCAATGATCCTTCATTCTTGTCACTAAAGTACATTATAGATTAAAGAGAAAACGAACGTTTTCTTGGACGGTTAAGTTACCTAGTGAGCTCAAGCCTGATTTCACATTGGTGGTAAATAAAATAAATTTTCTGGCGCAATACTATTCGAAAAGGAACGATAACTATACTGCACCGACGCAACCCGCATTGCTGGCGTTAAACTGTACGTGACAAGAAGCTAATTTCGCGCGACCTTGAATCGATGATGCAATGCTCTTTTCAACTTCTTCGATAGGTCAAGTCGATCCACAAAGCTTAAATATCCTCTTAATAAACCATAAACTGAACAAAGACACTTACATTAGTTGCTGTTTAGTAAAGACTTGGGGCAAATACCTCGTGCCTTACATCTGGAATAAACACCTTTCAATGAAATCCGCCAAAGTCGTTGTTATGGCAACATTGAAGAAGCCAAATGACAAATTATTGTAAACAAGTGCGGCAACTAATTGACTTTTGAATCAAGTTCTGACACAATTCGCATAACAATGAAGAAGGTACAATGAAGAAAAACAGTCGATTGCAAAGCTAAGCGGGAACCCCAAAACAATCTGAACTTGCGCTAATAGGCAATCTTTCAAATTTTGAACCCCAACGAGATAAGTCAAAACCGGGTGGTTTCAAAAAATTAAACGAAGAGACACTAATGATGAGCTTAAATCTGGCTAATTACTCAAACATTTGTTATCTATAAATCTTTTTGTTTCATTAGTAGTCTATGGTATCTTAAGAAAATTGAAAGCCCTCCAGAAATATCTTCTTTTGTCACAGGCTCGAAATCGAGCATAACCCAGTTTAACACAAGTAGCCAAAGAGAGAGAGAAAATATCCGTAATTAGCTTTCTGGGGCTATCTTGAGCTTCCCAAGACCCTTACAATTCTGAGCAAGAAGAGCTTCTGTCCAAATTTTTATGTCAGAGAGTGTAAGAATATTCTTACTCAATTGTTTTACATGTACGTGGATTCTCGACCCACTCATCCATATACTTACCTTCAATAAGTCACTTTTGCGCGAAGAAGTAACCCAATAATTTCATTACTTAAACTTGCACTATCTTACCTGCTGCCAGTAAGAAGTACAGCTTAAAACGATATAATAATTTGTTTCAATGCAAACTAGACATTAACATACTAATGCCAGGTCAGATGTTACAAATTTTCAAACTCCCTAGGACATTGTTCGTCACCCGCCCTTTTCTAGACCTGAATAGAAATTAAACCCTACTTATATGTTTTGGTTTAGACCTTCAATGAAAACAGTTTCCCTTTCGGGAGCAGTAACCCCTTAAGCTGGCATAAAAAGGGTTACGTCAAAATGTGTATTTTGGCCCCATACTGTGGAGTACACAAGCCGCCCCTGAATTTTTTTCTTTTGCAAATAGAGTCCGATTAAACCTAGCTTGATCCAAATCGAGTCAGAAACGGTTTGATATTAAAAATTAATGATTTAATTACCATGCACTGAGTTGACGTGGAACAGAGTCTTGCAGTCCTGTGGACTCCTCCATTGATCTCTCAATCTCGAGGATTTTACTGAACGATTTGACACAGGATAAAAAAGAGACGAACGAAGAGTTTCTCCCTGAAACAAAAAACGAAAAACAAACAACAACGGTTCATTTTTGAAGAAGAGTGGGGCTGGGGAGAGGGTGCACTAATTGGATTTACGAAAATACTGGTTCACGATGATTACCGCTGGGAACATGGGTAAATAAACGTTCCCACAAGTAAATAGGCACTCTTCTTATAATCCAAAAATTAAGTTCAGTGACACATCAAGTTCAATTTCCTTAAGGGCTCGTCTTGTTGCATTCAAACAATCTAATGGCTTTTGTTCCATCAATTTTAGTTCATTCTAAGCTGACTTTTTCTATAGATTAATAACTCCGATGTGATTAATTATTACTTCTCCTAAGAAAAATAGAGTCACGGGTATGAAACAACCATTGAGATCAAATCGCATCGAAAAGGTCTTCTGCTTCTCTAATTAAATTTAGAACTGTTTAGAAATGTACATACCGAACATAGCCGTCTAGGAATAGGAGGACCCCAGATGTTGTTAATGAAGACATAGTCGGGTGGAGCACTGAACGACCTCATTCAAAAACTATCCACAAAATGCCGTCCACTTTTGCTGCAATTTTCCTATCAAATTACTAAGCCCACCGTAAATTACTTATTTGATATTTGTGCTTTCTCAGCATGGATGATAAAATTTGAAAACTTATTAAAGGATACTAATTACAACGTCATGAATTCCTAATACAACTTATTAATGAAAAGGAGTATTACCTCATAATCACAATCATGACGTCTGTAAGGAGACAACCGTCTCAAGTAATTCCATCTTTACGATGGGGATTAGAGCTTACTGGCTTGTGGGGTCGTGTTATGATGAACATTAGTTACAAAAGTGATACTTAAAAGCCAATATATATGCCTATAAAAGTAAAAATTTTGCCGCCTATCATTTCAGTTTAGGGAACCGTGCGTTATCATCATCATCGCCGTCGTCGCCATCATTATTTTTGAGAGAAAAGTGGCGGAAAAAAAATAATCTGCACAGACAACGACGTAGGGAAGAATGCTTATCAAAATAACATTTCCACCCCCGGCCCCATCCAATAGAATGACAATATTCGCCCTCCCAGTGTACCAGATGACTTCATACATTGTTGAATTTCCTTTGAGTTTGGAGCAATTCTCAAATGAGTGCGTAAAGTAATCCGGACTACTTTTTTTCGTTTGTCTTTGGAAGTGCTTTTAGTTTACCTCGAGTTGGTAAGTGCGTGTACCCGCGATGGGGTCCAGACCTCTCACAGGCTGAGCCAAGAAATTCAGTAATAAACGCCAATCAAACATGATCACTGATGAGTGAAAACAATTTGGAGATCATGTAAAGCAACCAAAGCCTCACTGTGTTCAACACATAAATTCTCCCACTTGCTGCTAAGTAAGCGTCCATTAAAGAATTCAATTGTTCTTAATTAAAACGGAACATTTAATTAACCTCAATGAAACACATCTTTAAGGAACATTTCATTCTCTATATAAAACTGTTCTAATGAGGCCTTAAACTTCTGTTTAAAATATAAAATCTAAAACCCAAGCTTTTTCCGATCAACGGCATGATGATGATGCCGTTGATCGGCGAAAGCTTGGATTTTAGATTTTATTTTTTAAACAACAGTTTAAGGTCTCATTAGAAGAGTTTCATAGTTTTAATTATGCTGGTGAAGGACAACATGAACAGATTATTTCATTCTCTCTTTAATGACATCACGAATTCCAACAATGGTGGCCTGGACATTATCATATTAATTTAAATAACAAGAAATTGAATATACTGCAGTCCAACAAAAGATAATATTCTTTTCACACTAATACTACAGAGAAAGATTTAGGATAAGCTATGATATTCAGTACACTGCATGAACACAGTTGCACAAGGACACCTAGATACCACTATCCCCAGCTTAACTATACAACTGTCAATTAATTTCACTCATGGTATTTAGAAAGCAAAAGTTTAAAACCGCAATTATGGAATCTAATTCCCAAACAATTCCCAACCAATTGACTTATGCTTAAATTCCTGTAAAACACAGACCTGTTTATCAAACTATTTTGTATTACCAAAACTGTATAGCCTGATTTATGAGCCTGAACACAGTTGCACTCTAGTCCTTTTACTGACAAGACAAAGGCACTTGGGAGCAGCTTATTTCTATCAGTTTGTTCATAAGTTTGAATGAGTTACAAGTATCAGTCTCTTGTCAACAAATAAGCCTTGTGCAGATCGTGATTTCCTCCACAATTTTAAAAACTAGTCCAGAAGCTCTTATCAAAGGTGATCACATAGTTTAGAAGCTTCAAAAGGCATGATTTCTTTCAGAACACTAGATTGGAAGAAAGTGTTTGTGAAGCCTACAGAGAGTTAGTGACATATTGGTTGAGAAACTAGTAATTGTATAAACAAATATTGACTTAACTGTTATCATCAATTAAAGCCTTTATATTTGACTGGGAAAATAGTCTTTTTCATAACAGTGCTAACCCTTTTTGACTAATACTGTTAAGTTGGCATGTTATTCCATATAAACCAAAGTCTGTACACTGTACATGGACTGTATTATAGCATAATCATCATCCTTATAGCTGTGTTGTAATATGTTATTTCATTATTCTTTCTTCATAAGCAACCAATGGAGTCTCCATATCAGAATATTCCAGACAAGTCCCATAAGCAACTGACTATATATAATTAATACATTGATTATTTACAGTTTTATTAACAATTATTATTACTATTGTTAAAATCAAGATCAGGGGAAAAAGATGATCCTGAACTCTTCCTCTTTCTCAACCAGTTGTGCTCTGTTCACACAGTATCTAAACCAAGTCTGTTTTTAACTTCAACCCTCACTGACTTAACCTCACCCAACATTATTGATTATTATTAATTACTTAGTGAATACATGGCAGATGTTAATAATCAAAGCGACGTTCTCTCCCATATTCTAAACCAGGTTTTACAACATCCACATAGTCCAAGTCCAGGTCATAAAACTCACTTAAGCTGTCACCATCATCATTTCCTGCCATTTTTGTTATAGATTCCAATGGAATTATTTCATAATCCTCCAGTACAAAGTCAATTTCATCCCTTGGTGTTCCATGCCAGCTGCGGCTCAGTGGATGTTCTTCAGTTTGTCCATCTGGTTCTGTAAACGATGCACTTTCTGCACTGTCTAACCCATCCTCACTGCTACCAGGAATTGTGGGAAGGGTCAGTTGGCCACCAGGATATGCACAGCAGCTGATACTGCGACATTTCTTCATGTCTCTATTGGCTTCAAAGGGAAATTTATTGATTGTTACTTTCAGACAAGTGAAAAAAAATTTAACTTTTTAATTACATCATACATGACAGTAAATAAATATAATAACCGTTCTCTAAATAAAATAATAACCAAACAAAAATTAATGTCATTTTTCAAAATATTTTAACTTGAAATTCTTGTGGCAAGTATATTCTGGAAATGATTACATGGTACTGAACCTTTGAAGCAAAAGTTACTGAAGAGTAAACAGCAGCTTAATGGTTCAATTTTTTTTTTGCTCCTGATACAGTTTCTAGTTTTGTGTAATATTGATTGTCCACTGAAAAAATATGCAACATTTTCACTCATGTAGTTAGTGGCTATGTACAATATACCCACCTGGATGTCATGTGAACATGTTTTCTAAGTTAGATGTTAAATTTGGTGTAATGATACTCTACTGCATAATATACAAATATTGATATCATTATTATCATTAGTAACATCACTGTTGCGATAAAAACTATAATTATTAGTATTACTATTAGTGTTATCATACAGTAAAAGGTGTTGCTAAAAAGACAAATCTGAGCCAAACAGAAAATAAAATATTAGTGCATTGGAGTTTTTAATTAGTAAAAAAATTGCCATTACAGAATAAATGAGATGTCACTGCTAGCATTTTTGAAGCTCACCTGGAACATCAATAGCATCTTCAACAGCAGTATTAAACCCAAACAGGTTATCATTGTGAAAACTTGACCATTCCTTACCGTAGGATTTGTATTTCAGGGTTTGGGGCCTTAAAAATTAAAGAAAAACATAACTCACTTTTCCACTGACATACATCAATCATAAAGAGAAACTACTTTGGGGAGATACACTATGCTGATGGAGTGTGTATTTACACACACACACACACAGTGCACAATAAATGGAAATGTAGGAGGATCACTGGCACTAATGGCTTCCTATTCTTGATGAGTAAAAGTTGTTAATGTGACTTAAGGTTATTAAGTGGATGAGAGCCTTTGGTTCTACTCCAAAACATAAAAAGTAACAAGTTTCTCCTGGATGGGATGGTTTTTAATAACAAGTGACACTCTGCATTTTATCAGATTTCCCTGATAGTTTGCAGATCCCATTCAGACTTCTGCATGGAGAGAGGTACTATGAGAGTTAATTGTTTTAACCCTTTAACTCCCAAGATCTTATTAGTAATTCTCCTTACTATCTCCCATACAGTTCTTGTGATGTTAGTTTGGAGGATTTAGAATTGGATCATCTTCGAATCCCCTCACTGATATTTTTCTTGATTCTCATAACTTGTCTGCTAACATTGCTTTGATATTGTAAGGAGAAATTCTGTCTTGGTCACTCATGGGAGTTAAAGGGTTAACCAAGAAACACAAAGGATCTTAAATACAGCTAAATCCCACAACTCCTGATAAAAAGACTGACATCCAACTATTAAGTCACCCTGTCTCTCAAAAGTTTACAATCTTGAGAGGTAAAGCCCCTCTTTTCCTTACTTTTCTGCAGATGGATACTCTGCACTGAATGTTTTTGTTCTGGGTCGTCTTTCTGAGTCGTCCCTCTTCAATTCTTTCTCATGCAGTCTATGAATAAGTGATCTGATACCTCCCGGAGTTCGTGTTTTCATGTAGTAGTCCATTTGATGTTTACTGAGACTTGTCTGCAGAAATAGTAGCATGGCTGAATTGTTCACAAAAGAATTAATGCTTGCAAGCCTGTTGAGAAAAAAATTGTTCAGAAAAAAATATGTTAGAAGGCAATATTTCACCAATTTTCTTGTTAATACTTTGAGACTTATTGAATGTCACCAAAACACAGTCACAAATGTGACCAAGAGGAAAGGAACTTCTACCTGTAAACATAAACTCCTAAATTACCATCTGTAAAAAAATTAATCGTATTGAATAGATCAAGTTCATATTAAAGGAACTGGAAGCAATAAAAATCAATATGAAACTACAACTGGGTTTGTAGTAACTTTGTACACAGACCTATTCAGAAATCTTGATAATCCTTCTTGGCGTTTCTGTAAAAAGCTCTCCTTGAAACGTCCAACATACTGTTTTCTTGGTAGATGTGGAACTTGCCTATTCAAAATAAGTCATTTATTCTTATGTTTTAAATATGAATCAGTTCAAAAAAGGCAAAGGGATATGTATATTTATTGTACCACTATCAATTAAAAATCAATTCACAAATATCTTAAGCCCAGATTGACATCATGACCCAAAATTTAAAAACAAAGAAATCATTTTATTCAGACTTGAATATTTGTTTGAAGTTCTAATAATTGGAGAACTTTAAACCTCCAGCACACTTACACCATTACAACATCATCAAGACCCAATCTGGTTCTCAGCCAAACAAACTCTGAATATCTTCGTCTCACTTGAGAATGGAACAATGGAAATGCAGGATGATTTGTCTACAGAAAGATTAACAAAGGTAAGAGAGAACAATTGCGATAAAATTCATTTGAGGAATTCTTGTCTATGATTAAATTTTGAGGCATGTGATTATCATGTGCTAGTCACACCTCTGACATGCCCCCTGACACACCTCCAATAAGTAAATCATTATCTCTACTCACTTTGGAAAAATTTGGTTTCTTATTCCTATCTTAGAGCAAAGGCTGGTTGCAGATAAAGACATCTTATTATCGAATAAGTCACTTTAAATTTCCAAAATTGGGTTGGTGGAATAAATTCTGTTAAATATGCCACTCTTAGTGTACATCAATGTAGGGTTGATTCTACTGCAACATATTGCAGTACCCTAATTTCATAACATGATTGGCATGAGGGACGATACTCTGATTTTACTGCTTACCAGTTAGAATTCATAACATCAGTTGTTTTCTTTGCTCATTCCTCAACAAAGATAAACACACGCCTTTCGAATGCCCCAAATTAACGACGCAATGACAAAGGAAATTTGCATGACTTTCGATATTAGCTTCGACCCACAGAACATGGTTGAAGTTTATAAACCAGGAATGCTCATTTAAAACCTTGAGAGTTACTGAATACGATAACAATTTGTGTTGTCCTAGGTCTCAAGGTTTCCGTGGACCTTGGAATGAATTGCCGCCCCCCAAGAGACTCAAAACTAACGAAACACCGGCTTACCTTCAATTCAATTTCGTAGTCAGTATAAAGTGCCTTTTCTTTCTCAATATGGGTTCGAGGATTTTTCACTTCGATTTCCAAATACTGAAAACACAACATAGCAAAATAAATGAAACGAAAACATCTCGCAAAGTTCAGTCAGACTTAAAAAACAATTAGAAATCGCTTTTACACACCGCGTTGCCGTACGCAGTTTCTCCCACTTGATCTCTTATCATAATCCAATCAAAATTCGGCTGAAACAGCCTGTATCCTCGTCTTCTATGCATGTGTGACCAAGATACCTGAAAACATCAACAAACCTCCTAAGCTAAGCGGTCAAAACAAAGAAAATTACAAACAAGAGAAGCCCCTAAACCGATTGCGTACATACCAGCCATTTTGCATCCGAACCCACTCTCCCCAGGGCTTCACGAATTCAGTTACATCACCGAAAATATATAAGATTGTACTGTACAGTTGAACAGACCGCCAAAACGTTTGAGACGAAGATAGATGTTTTGTAACATCATCTTACGATACGTGGGTTGGGATACTCGTGACTAAATTTAATAAGCTTCCCATCGTTTCGCGATGTTATGTAATAAAATTGGTGCTTCGTGGTTTGTACGAAGTAGGTGCTCGAGAGTTCACATTGAGGTCACATCAACGTTTGACAAGACTAATGAATTTGCATTCACTGGCACCAGTGGGTAAATGAGGTACCGTGCGGTGAAAGAACAAGTTATAATCTTTAGAAGCCTTTGTTTCTCATTCAGGAGTTGTGAATGCAAAGAAACGCGGGGAGGAAAGGAGAAGTATCGGAGGGGATCGTAAAAAGAACTGCCATATGAAGCACGTGTCCCGCGGTCCTGGGGCACTGCACGTGAGAGACGGCGTGATTGTAGATAAGTCAGATTGTTAGCTTGTTTCTTCCATAATGAACTTATAGAGGTCGATGATTCTCCTCTGAAGCGACTTAAACTTGCCTTTTAAGCAATTTTTGGGGTTTCTCTCTTTGACTCGTCCTTTAAGCGCGAGGAGATTCAAATAATGTTACATCTACATTGAAAACAGAAGCATTATTCCTATCATAAAGATTTTATTTTTCCCAGATACATGGTTCAAACACCTGTACACACCTTTGTGTCGAAGAAATATCCGTGATTGATTTCCGGAGGAGGTATTTCCCTGTATAAGCTACCAACCAGTACGTATCTGCCTCTCCAAAAGGCTTGGTTTTGGAGCTTTTTTGGGGGTCTAAACACAGGAACACATTTTCAGAACTATGGCCTTAAAACACGGATGATTTTCAAGGTAACCAGGAGAACATGTAAACATATTTGTTTTTTCAACTCCACATGGACAATAGAGAAAGAGAAGGAACCAAATATATTATTCGAGCTGAGTTCAAGGTTAAATTTTACCATTATTGACCTCTGATACTGATATGAAGATTCATTTGGCTACAAAACTAAGAACTTGTTTCAATGGCTAGGCGTTAAAACAGTCATGGATCTTGGAGCCTACTTTTGGTAACGAGTGAGGAGAGTGACAGTTTTAGGGTCAAGAATTGGAGAACCGAGCTGCATACCCCTATCAAAAGTACCAAGGAGTTGGTGATTACAGATACGCCGGAATTCGAGTTTTCTGTTCATTGTTCAACATCATACGTTATTCCTTGCATCCGGTTGCATTAGTACTGTTGAGGTCACATTTTAGAGTTTCCACATTAGCCTCTCACAGACTTCGATCAAGGCGAAATAAGTCTATAAAAGTATGAAATAAACAATCTCTCTGAAAGAAATATCGCGTGTCGAAAGAGCTTAGAAAATTTTCTTTGCGTGACTGTGGTGTTATTACGTAATAATTTGATATGATTCAGCGAAGCGGCCTTACATCAAATACTAACCGTGAAATTACTAGGTTTTCGTCTTTGAATGTCAATCAAAGCTAATGTCTGATGAAGAGGAATTTCAGCACGAGGAACGAGGACTTCTTACAGCTTTATTTGTAAGAAACATTTTGCTTGCCATCGTTAAAACCGGGCCCAAGTGATTACAGACCGCCGCACGCGCTTCTACTCTTTCTTGGTCGTCTTTATCGCGTCTTCCGTAGAGAGCCTACTACACAGGCTAATTCCAAAATTAAAAATATTTTACGCTTCTGTAGCCGTATTTGGGTCAGGGCTATTGTAAAGTGAACGACCCATCGAAACCCAACAACAAAAACTTACTAATACTGAGAGATAATATGTTAGTTTTTGAACGGTTCCCTATCAACATCATTGACCAGGCTTTGCTCATGAAACGAAGGCTGAATTTTTACCGCAGTATTCTGTAGCTGGTGCAGTTGGTGGTTTCCAGCAAGTTATGCAGGAGCAGAGCAAGTGTAAAAAGCGATGCTCGAGGCCGCGAAAGATATGGCTGAGATAAAGCACAGACTAAAGTCTTGGAAAAAGTTAGTCAAAGGAATGTCGCATTTACTGCTTACATGGTATTAGGTGTTACCTGTACTCACTTAGCCAACAGCTTTCACTATTTTCCGTAAACTAAGAGTCCGTTACGTCAAGAAGATCGGTTTGTACAGCTTGAAATTTGCTTACGACAGAACGGAAAACGGTGACGCCGACAACGGAAGACGAGGTCAGAGGACATTCGCAAATTGGTTTGCGCGTCTCTTTGGGTAAGAAAATATTCAGCCTAACTCAAGAAACAGGTCAGCTTACCTCGTTTAAATAGTTGTTAGAAAAGCTGTGATTGACCAATTTTTCGGTTAACAGATAATCATGGCTTCATAACGTAACTACCGGGGCACGAGTAGAAATAAAAGTCTGGCACGTCTTCAATTTTGAGCAAGACATGCACTTCACTTTTTCATGTTTACATGTGCTGTCACTCACTTCATCCTGTGACTGACGTTTTTCAGGGTTGAACGGAACACTTGTAGCTCTAAACCGGAATTATCTTAACTCCGCACCGGAAGTAGTATTGCATAGCCTACGTTCTTGGGAAGGTGAAAAAAACGTACCAGTCAAGAGAAGGCGAATAGTTTCTGAATTTTTCCTCCAGAAGTTTTGTTTTCGTGACTGAGTGAAAATGAGTAACTAGAAGGCCCTTTCCCCATCTTCCGACCGCCACCCACGCACTTAACTTGTCCTCAGGCCGGAAGCGTTTAATTTGATACCGTTATAATATCTCGCCTAACTCTGAAAACCAATTTGCTTTTCGGGTCAGACGACGAAATCGATTTTGTTATAATCAAATGAGGTCGAATTTTAGATAGTTCTAATGAAGAAAATTGACACACAAGATTATTAGAACCAGAGTATTCATAAAATCTTAGATTTATCGTACACTATTCGATTATAGAATATTTCTACAAATGGATATCATATTAAAAAGTGACCTCATTAATGAGTCATCATAACATTTCACTGCCTTGTCCAAATGGCATACTTGGTTTATGAGCTGTCACGCAAATTCTTCCTCCAATAATAATCGGATATAGGTATTTGCACTCTATCCAAAGGCCAAACCTATTCTTTCATGCGCACGCGTAATATTTCACGCAACATTCCAACATTCACTTAGTCACGATAATCATACAACGTTAGTGTAACGCAATTCTATCATTTCGACTACATCGTAAGTTAAAAACACAGATGCTGACTGTAAACTGTCACATGAAGATGAAAACTCATCACGATCTTTCCAATCAAGTCCACCTATGGAAGAATGAAGAAAACTATATTCAGAGTCACCATTGTCTCCACCTTCTTCCGAAATGGCATCTCCTTGGACACTACATTCTTTGCTGTCATAAACCATACTAGCCGTTGATTTGCACTTATTAATCTGACGAACACAAGGAATACTTAAAACGTCGAACTCTTTCAATCGCACTTCCCTTTGGCAAGCATCCAAAGTATCTTCCTCATCGCTACTGTCACATCTACCAGCTGATTTATCATTCTGAGAATTTAACCAGTCTCTTACACGAATAAAAGGTTCGTCTTTAACGATTTCATAGTCTGATAAATCAAACTCCGTTTCGTTATCCCCTTCATAAGGATTGGGGCTGCCCGATTTACCATCAGCGCTCTCACAATTGGCTTCATCAATCCTGGGGCAATTCATACCCGAGGGGGCAATCATAAGCTGTCCACCTGGTAATACTGATGCTACATTATGGGTCAGACTAAGTCTTCTGTTCAAAGGGGTTGACTGTTTCTCGAAGCAAACGGGACAGAAACCCCGAAGTTGTGAATTTGAACGTGATTTGCAAGTGGTTTGACATGTGTATCCTGAGCTCCAGCCATTTCCCATAAGGCCGCTGGGGGCGAAGTACTGTTGTGAGGCAACCCAGCTGGAAACATCTGAAAGAATACAGAAAAAGTGAAGTTGATTTTACAATATAATCTAAGTATCTTTTAGAAGGTTTTTGCTTATTATAACTTTTTGGTTAACGGAACCCAAACGGCTGGCAAGAAACCCTAACGTCCCCCCCCCCTCCTCAGAACAA